GTTGCTGGGGTATCGCGACTATCGTGGGTGGTCCGTGGTTGGTACCTCGATCCTCGATTACGCACCCCACCCACGTTTATAAACAAACGATTTTAGCAAGAATTTAAAACTCATTTGGAAATTATTACAATAACGAAGTCTAACGAACTTCTTTTCTTGTCTTCTCTGTACCATGTTTCATTGATCATCTCGCGTGCTTCGCGCTTCGTCTCCTTTTCTTTTCAGACGCTTGCATTGTATTTCGCGCGTGCCATATTGCATATTTAAAATCGGGTCGGTATCATTTGCCGATCCAGATTTACAGAAAGGGGAGAATACCCCGTCAGATAGAGTATATAACAGAGAGAGAGTGGTTGAGTTCAGGATGGAGGAGCACCTTTTAGGAGCTTAGAGATTACACTTGGGACGAGCTAGTAGTAATGCAGAGGTGAGTCTCGCAAGAGCAAGCCGCTCATTCCCACGAAGGATTCGACAGAACTTATAATACCTACGATGTGGCATCGGTTGCGGCACGCTTCCACCACCTACTGTCGCCCTCTTGACGCTATCGTTTCGTCTTTAGACACCCCTCACCCCTTTCCCCATCGCTCGTGTCGTCTACGCATTCATAATTCAATGTCAAGCGCCACTTATCCACCCCCTGGACTCTTGAAGTCTTCGAACGAGTTTGATCTCTTTCCTTCCTCGAGGGTCGATGTTGCAGTTGCGACTAACGTGAAATATTTTAATACGGTAACAAGTTGTATAACAATTTGTTTCAATGCAGTTCAAAGTATGATTCTCAACGGACGGTGCAATTTTTGCAAAACTGCAGAATTCTTATGCGACTGCAATTTTTTAGAGAGAAATCTATTCGCCCGAGAAAAACAGAATTTTTAGGAGATTTCGGAAAATGAATTTTGCTTCCTAAAGAAGGGCTTCGAAGGTTCCTAAACAACGGTTCGAAATTACACTTACCGTTAACAATCGATCGTTCAGTTTTCACTTCTAAAACTGTTGTTCAAACGTAAAATACGCTCGCGCGATCCCGAATATTGTCGAACCGAGGCATTGTCGGCGCAATATATGTACTATATGTACGCGAGCATTTCCTTAGCCGTAGTAAGGTTTCAATTTGTCGCGCGACGTCAAACACTCGCTGGGAGGTCTGCCACCCAATTTCCGGAGCGGCAATTTCCCGTAGCGCGCCGAGACGGCTAAACACGAAGAGACATCTCCTTAACGTCGCGAGGAGAAGGCACCGGGCGTCTCGCTTTTGGCTCATCTACTCGAGCCAATATTATCAATCGACTCTCCGAGCCGAGTCTCGGGCGCGGTAATGAAATAAAACTGTCCGGCTTATTTTCATCGTTCCCCGATCCTAGAAAGACCGTAGGGAAGTCTCTCGTAGCCAACACTCTCTCTCTCTCTCTCTCTCTCTGTCTCTCTTTGTACCCAAGTTGGATAATTGCTTCGATTATTTACAAGATTTTCTCTCACGGCGGATTAAAGCCGGCGACGGCTTTGAAGAATGCTCTTGCCTCTCCTCTTTTCTTTCATCTCCTGTCTCCGCGCTTCTTTATCGTCCTCGTCGGTCTATCGTCGAAACTCGATTGCACCCTCTCGTTCTGTCTTTCAAGGCCTAATCCGATTACGATGGAACGAGGTGTTCGTTCGGGTGTAACTCCGCGATAATGGATATTGCTATTCAAAGTATTTCTCGCGTTAAATGACGTTCCTCCCCGTGGATCCCCGACCTCCGTGGCTCGAAGGAGATTTTGCGGTTCGATGCGACGCTTAATTTCTTTTCTCCCCGGATGATTTCTAATATCTAAGCAAGGCCCGGCGAAACTTCGAACGATGATATATTACGAACGACAGAAAGAGACAGAGTGAAAGAAAGGCAGAAGATACTTTTACTCATTTACAACTTGGAGACAGTTGTTTGTTTTTTTTATTATTACACAATCGTCTATATACTTGTATTATTTATTTCAATTAATTACCGAATTTATGCCTCCTCCTCCTGCTCCTGGTCTAAATGATCTCAACACGGCGGCAGAGTTGAAATTTGTCTTCGTACCAACTGGAGGAACTTTCGATGAAGCTGAAGTCATCATATGAAACGACACAGTTGTGTCTCGAGACACTGCGTATGTACATACATACGTACATACATACATACATACATCTGGCGGATCGTGCAAATACGAGACAGTCAGTCCTCTTCTCTCCATCGGCGCGCGACGTGGCCAGACTGCGGAAATCGGTGATTTCCACAATGCGTTCCTTTACCGTTTCGCCTGTAGCGTTTCACCGGCTTGCACACAGCACAACAGCGTGCTTCCTCCTTGGTGCTCCGCGTAGTACACTTGCCAAAATAAATACCGTGCCACGGTAAACCCAGAGGCACGCCTCTGTCTTATCTGCCACGGCAGACACATCGTCCGGCCTCTGTGCAGGCGAAACACAGGCGCCTCTTTGGCCACTCAAGATGTTTGCTTTGGCCGAACGCGTGCACACGGTCTACGAGCGAGTTACACACGTTCGCAAGTGTTGGAACACACTTTCGTCCCGATAATTCGCGCTCGAATCATAAGGCAAACTTCTTTGATTAATAACTAGCTCGCGGATTCTGTGGTGCTGCACCACGTGTACCACGGAACTGAAACCAAAGACTGGAGCATAGAATTTTTTCATCAGAGACACTAAACAGAATACACATGATTTTATTGGTGTATTTTACATCTACAATATATCTGACGAAGATTGTGAATTTCAGTGAATTTTCGAAATGGACTTCTACTTACAAGTGTTTCTTGGTTTCTTTCCGTGATAACAACGAGAAACTTTCGGTACAAAGCGTTGAATTTTGCCAGATGTTCGATAAAAAATTCTTGCTACATTCCGTAAGTCAAGTGCGGAAATACCAGAAGCTGCCAATGATTGTAATTGCACAAAATATCTTAACTCAGGAATAGTAATCACGGTCCGTGATCATAGATCCGATATAAATTAAGTATCGTCTCTTACTGTCTCAACGACGGTAGAGAGAAAAGAGAGGGTGCGAGGGGACATCTAACGAAAAGGACCCTCGAGTGATGTTCGAAGACGAAGAGAAACGTCTAATGCCATAGTGGAATTTGCATACTTGGGTATTCATGCAAGGAAAGCTTTCGTCGGAGCATTACACGAGCCAGGATTGTTGCGCGAATACGCCACAGCCCTCGCAAAGTAACTAGGAGAACATTGGAGAAGCCGGCTCTGTTGTTAGTGTAAGTTGTTGCGTCGAACTGCTTGAAACTGCGCGCGGAATACACGACGTCGCGTCGCATCGACGTTGATCTTTCGCGTGAAATATCTTCGTCTGTTGCGCATTTTGTTGATCTTTGACAAATCGTCGTTACCTGTACAATGGTTTCAACCAGTAGAACTTTAACCAGCCAAACTTTAGAAATTTTATTTTCAGCAATTAAACGTTGGATTCTAGAACTCTCAAGTCTGAGAGCTGTCTGTCTCTTCGGTGAAAGCAAAAAAAATACAGTCTAGCGAACGTGAGAATCTCTCTCGTTCGTGGTCCATGAATGTGAATCGTGTGTTTCTCCATCATCGCCCGTTGATTCGCAACAACCTCACGTGTACACGCGTCTCTGTTGATACACGTGCACGTATGGATACTGGCAGCTGTGTACATGGTGTTCTCTAGCTACATATCGTTCGAAACTGACAGGTTATGACGTTGCACAGATGCTTGGGATAATTCTCCCGGGAACATTTCGCTGTGTCTTTAACGCCTTCGGTCTCGTGTTAATTTACCAGAAGACCAGCACGAATCTTCTTTCTTTTCTGTAACTTGCTCGAAACGAATCCAACTGTGAAAAGCGACGAATCAGATTCTTTTCGTCGAGTTTCTTTGACTTGCAAGTGAAAAATTCTTTCAACTAACGAAACGGGGGAACTGACAGATTTGGGAACAGCCTGAATCGGGAACCCATCGGTCGCATTCCTTCGTTATGAAAGGTCATATAGTTCGCGGCCCTGGATTCTAGAATCTCAAGGGTCCCGTTCCAAGCTTTCGCTCACCAGCCACGGCCTCGTGAAGCATGGTAGTCCAAACTGCTGGCAAGTGATCCGTGGAAGGTCGTACCGCTCGCGTTTCGACCGTTTCGAATTCCACGAACGTTCGTGTACGCGACGGCTATGCCATTTTGTGGTTTCATACCTGAGAAACGCCTAGGGACCCGGAACCACTTATCGAAGTCCTCGGGTATTCGTATATTTCGCGTTAGAATTCTGTTAGATAATTTGATAGAGCGTCGTCGTCGCTCGATGCACAGATGCGTTTAATACGTGTAAATTCTCCGGCTGCCTTCTGCACGATCCTACGCCCGGCCAATTGAACTCGAATAGCCCTGATGAATTTTGCTTCTTTCTCGTCCGAAAGCGGGAAATTTTCGATATGTTGTTTTAGAACGTTGATTGTTAAATTTTGTAGGACATTAAGGATATTTTATTAAAGCTGTTGATACGAAGGATATTTTATTAATGCTGTTGAGTAAAGTTGGAAATTTTATTTAATTGGGAATTGATAAGGAACAGAAGCCTTAATAGTACGGTGACACGAACGATATTAGGATTAAAACTTGCCACACTCTCTATATTCTCTTTTAACCTCGCTACGTCTTTTCTCTCTTGACCTACACACTCTCTGGACTCGCTACTCACTATGTCTTTACACCTTCACGACTCGCTGATTCCTGATCTGAGCATTCCCAGGTTTTCAGGCCTGGCTTTCGCTATGACTGCTAAACAAATTGTTCGACACGCGATTTTTTACGAGACTACCCGTCGTAAAGAACAAAGTAAGCAAGCAAGATAATCCTTCCAATTCTTTTTTCAAAATTGACTGATTCTGAACATTGGACACTGCGTATTATATTAAATCGCATATTTATTTTCAATAGTAGTTGAAATATCCCAGAAATATTGAGAGAGAGCTTTGAAATGAACAGTTGGCCAAATAAGTTTGCAATTTTTAATTTATTATCAATATTTTTCGCATTCTGTACAATAAGCAAGTTTCAAAGGAACCCTATCAATTCAATTTCCCAGTATTTCGTTCATTCACGATGCTATCTTATATATGTACGTATGTATTATATGTAACGAACAATTTATTTGTTACATTCTATAGAAAATTGTTTCATAATTTGGTCTTGTCTTTCACATTCCAATGACCGATGACACATGTGATTTCACAAAACTTTGCCTAATTATCAGTCACTATAATGTTAACACTTTTTTTTTTTTTTTTAATCGAATAAATGATCTTGAGCTTGAAACCATCAGAAAGCAGTGATCTGTCATTTAGAAAATCGTACGTATTTTATTCAATTTTCGTCAAACGTTTGTCATCGACTCTAGAATCCATTTCTTCTTCCAAATCATCACAGACCTACCTAAAATTCGAGACTTTGCTTTTCTCTTCCCCCTGGCCAGATCCAAGCAGAATAATTTACCTCGTTAAATTACATTTATTGTCATTTTTCTAATCTGAATCGCTTTCATCAAGTCTCTTCCCTCTCCCAATTCCACTCTGTCTCCTCCGACTTGCTCCTAACACCTGTTCTGTAAACTTGTTCCTCTTCCGATGGCCAATTGGATCTCGAAGAATCCTCCTCCACGTCCGACGATCTGACGCTGTCTTTCTTGGAGCTCTTGCTCCTCTCGTTGTCAGTCGAGATCGACTCGATCTCTTCAGACTTCGAGCTCATCCTCGTGTTCTCGTCGGTGTCGCTGCTCCTGCTACGTGTCAACATAGCCGATTCTGACTCATCATCGGCAAACTCGCCAGTGTCGTCGTACTGTTCCCCTCCGTCTTTACTTTCCTTGGTTTTCCCATCGTCTTTCGATTTAGTCTCCGTCTTGGCTTGCTCTTTCGACTCTTTCGATTCTTTGATGACGTATGCGTCTTCCTCGGACCTGGACTTCTGCATCTGCCACGCCTTCTTGAACGGGTGTTCCCTCTCCTGTTGCACCAGTTTTGGCCTCTCGGGGAGAAGGTACTCCGGATCCTCTTCGCTAGCCTGGCTCTTAACAATCGACTCTCTCTTGTACAAACCTGACGATGACCTAGGTACGTTCTCACCTTCACTCCTTATCACGTTCCAGCCAGACTCCGCCAGATCGGAATCCTCCTGAGACAGTCTGGAAAGATCCTGCAGAGATATCCTCTTGCTGTCTTTTGTCAGAACAAAGTTGTAACTCTCGATGTCGTCGTCTTCCTCGAGAGAAGTCATCTGACTGCTGCTAGTGTAGGATCTCCTTCTCGATGCATCCCAAATCACCTCTTCCTCGCTCTGGGCGTCCTCTCTGGGAGGTGGAGCCTGTTCGCGATACTCTCGTCTCTGCCTGCTGTACTCGTCCTCGGGCTCGCTACGTTCCTGAGAAGAGCCTAATTGAGCTAGCACGCGCGAGCCCACGCTCACCGTCCACGAATCCATGTTGTCGTCAGCTGTTGGATCCTTCAGCAACGCCAGCTTCCCCTCGGCGGACGATCTGCGCAAAGAAGTCAGGCTCCCTTGCTCGGACGAGGGATCTCTCGTCGCCAGTTTCTCTATGAATTGTTTTCGACGTATTCTCAACTCGCTTTCCCAATCCTCCTCGTCGCTGACGCTCGCCTCCGCCTGTCGTCTCTCGACTTTCCTCTGTTGTTCCTCGTCGCTCTCCGAGGAGAAGATCCTCGAGTCTCTTGCCTGTCTCTGCACCGGCTCGCGTTCTTCGGATTTTCTTGAGAGTCTTCTCGGGTCCTTAGCCTGGTCCCGCGAACGATAGTCGTCTGGCTCTCTGATCACGGATCTACCTCTGGACTGCGATCGCCTGTATCTCAGATTATCTTCTTCTTTCTCGTATTTGGTTCTCGAGTAGTCCCTCGCCTCTTCTTCCTCCTCCTCGTCGTCCTCGCTGTCTCGCGTTGAGAATCTTTTAGCGTCGAGGCTTCGCGACAGGGAGCGTCTGCTTCGTCTCGCGGATTCTTCTCGCTCCTGTTGCGCTCTGGAAAGATTTAGGACAAAAGTTCTACGAAAGCTTTCGAACGTTCGCGCAGCTCTCGAAAGTCGATAAGAAATAATCCCAACATTTACTCTACAATTTAATCTTAACTTGAATATTAGCGCTCAGTTGCTGTTCAATCACACCAACGTTTCAAAATTTAGAACCCTGCGATTAGACACAATGTTAGAAAGACGAAAGTACGAAATTCTCAATTGTTCGATTCCTTCCCTGTAATAATTTGTGACAAACGCTCACCTCAGTGCCTCGTTCTCCCGATAATCCCTGCTTCTGCTTCTTCTCCCGCGATCTCTGTAATCGTCACTGCCATTTGAGAATCTCTTGCTGGCGTTTTTCAACCGAGACGGCGGGGCGTCAGTTTCGGATGGCTCTCGACTGATCAACGATCGCCTTCTTCCGCTCGATTTCTTTAAAATCGGCATGTCCACGCGTTCCTCGTCCTCCACACTCTCGTCGTAGTATTTCGCGCCGCCGTCTACTATATCTCTTTGCCAGTCCCAGCCCGTCGAGGTTACCTCGTCTTCTTCGAAGATCTTCTTCTCATGCGGTTGTTCCGACTTGGTGGCTTCTGGCGTCTTCGAGGTTTCCGTAGCTGGAGATTCGACGACCGGTGTTTTCACCGCGTTTAGGTCCGTGCTTTCCATCAGCACGTTTCTGATGTCTTGCATCGGGAGATCGAAGAACAAAGTTAAGATCGTGGAGACGATCACGACTGTCGCCGCTTCCAGCGCACTCACCTAGAAAGTTGTCAAATCTGTATCGGTATTGCGGTCGAATCAGCCAAGTCGTCGTTTGAATAGATTATATAAATTCTCGATTTCTTTTTCAAATATATAAGGTGGGCCAAAAATCACTGAAGAAAGAGCACGAATTTGCGAACGCTCCGGTGGCCAACACTTGAAAGAAATAATTCTTGAAACATAATGAAAAAATCATGATTTGAACTTGAATTTAATTTAAAATCGTGGGAATTTTGGGAAAGTGCCCAAAACGAAAGTTAGGCCTGGGACCTGGGAATAGTTTGTTCTAGCCATCCAGGTCTAGAACTTGAAATGTTAATAAAATGTTTTCCTTGCGTTTTGATGTTTTATTAAAAAAAAAAAAAAGAAAAAGAAAATAGGTGGGAAGAAATCCTATAGAAATACGTTTAAAAAAAAAGAATATTATCAATACTCTGAATTGACTAGCTTTCCCTGATCACAAAGTGCCTGTTCTTTTGGAATTGCTACGTACGCTTGTGTGCAGCTGAAATTCGCTAGAGTATCTGGTGGTCCCAACGTTGTAGAAAAATACAGCGAATTGCGTGAGATATATGGCGTACGATATCCTGCTGAAGACCAGTAACCAATAATTCGAGAGGAATCTGTTTAATATACCTACGAATAAAAATGACGTTGAAAGAAAGGAGAATGTGTCGTAATTCAAAACAAAAAAAAAAA